TAAATAATACTGTTCTTTTGTTCTCCCTTCTAAAGTGAACAACTTCACATTTTTCTACGTTGTAGCCCTTTTGCCAACTTTTTGCCCACTTAACCTATCAGTATCTATCTAAACTGTTAGCCTTTCCACCTTTTTTTTTTAACTCGTAGCATTTTCATTTAATATTCAATACATTTTCTGCAAATGTCACAAACCCACTTCCCTCTGGCTAAAAGCGAGGTGCCAGAGGACTGCAAATGTTGTTTAGCAAGGGTGGAAAGAATGAGCCAAATCATTGCAGTTCAGTCTGCCTAACATTGTGGTGAACACATTATGAAGAAGTTCTGAGATAGTATCACACATTCTTTCGAGAGGCACAGATTAATCAGAGACCGGCATCATGGATTTGTTAAGGGGCTAGAAGGTTGTTGGGAACAAGCACAGAATGCTGGAGAAACTAAGCATGTTGGCGGCATCTGTGCAGAGGGAAAACAGTTTGGGATGATTCTTGAGAGCTGAAAGGTGTTGGAAAATGTTTTCTTAATTTTTTTTTGCCTTAGGTGGAGGAGTAGTGAGGGGCAGTTAGCGTAGAGGCCCACTGCAAAAGACAAAGGGGTTTGTTAATGGCGGTGAAATAAGGTGTGAAAGGGAGACAATGGATCCGTCTCATAGAGGATATCTTTTTTCTGTTTTATTACTGCATGAACTATGGTCAATTTTGAACTGGCTACGTAGTCAAAATCTCATTTCTGAATGGTTTCTTTAAATGTAATGATTATCTTAGTGCCAAGGTTCCATGTGGCAGACTAGTCCGAAAACTAAACTTCTGGGGTCCAAAGGAAAATGGTAAACTGGGCCCAAAATTAACTCAGCGACAGGAAGCAAAAGGTTATACTGGCTGGGCACTTTCATGTCTGCATAGCTGTTTTCAATGGAATTCTGCAGTGCTTAGTACTAGCTCTATGCTCTATTAGTATGCATCAATGGTCTGTTCTTCCATGTGGGGCATGATTCAGTTTGCATAGAAATTGGCCATGTCACTGATTAGTGAGGAAAGATGTACACTGCAAGAAGATATCAACAAACTAGTGAAGTGGACAGAAAGTTAAATTCTGTCAGGAAGAGTGCAGGGTTTGGAAGGCCAAATAACAAAAGAAAATATATAATAATTTTCAGAATTCTGGCAAGTGTATTTGAAAATAACAGGATCTGTACGAAGAACCGCTAATGTATAGTGTATGGTTGTCGGTGCCACATGACAGCAGAGATGTGATTGCAGTCGATAGAGTGCGGAAGCAATTTATAAGAATGGTTTCAGGAATGAAAATCTTCAGTTATGAGGATAAATTGAAGAAGCTGGGACTGTTGTTCTTGGAGAGAAGAAGGCTGAGCAGAGATTTGGTAGAGGTTTTCAAAATTGTGAGCTCATAGATGGAGTAGATAGGAAGAAGCTGTTCCCACTCAAAATATAAAAGAACAAGAGGGCATAGGTTTAAGTGATATGCAAATGAAGCAAGAGTGCGAGAACTTTTTTTTCACACAGCAAGTAGTTGGGATATTAAATGCACTTCTAGAAATGTGGTGGAAGAGGGTTCAATTGAGGTATTCAATCAGGCATTAGATGATTATTTGGATAGAAATGGTGTGCAGGGGTATGGAGAAAAGGCAGGAGATTGGCACTTGGTAATAGAAGTAGTATAGGTGCGATGGACTGGATGGCCTCTTACTGCACCATAACAATTCATGATTCTGTGATGTAGACAAGATGATCACAGAGGCAAATGGGATACTTATCTATATTGGCCTGACCTAGAGTACAAGAACAGAAAAGCTATGCTAGAACTGTATAAGAAAAAAAGTAGTTAAACTGTGGGTATAGTTCTGCATACAGTCTGGTCAGGTCATGTGAGAGTAAACGAGACTTGCAAGCATGTTTTCAAGAATGGAGAATTTAGCCTATGAGAAAATATTGGTTAGCTGTGTTGCATTCTTTGGAACAGAGGTTGATAAGAGATTGAATTGCGTTGGATAGAATTACGGATGGAATAGTTAACATGAGAAGCTACTTCCATTAGCAGAGTGGTTGATAACTGAGTTTAAAGAAATTGATGGAAGGATTTGAGGGGCATGAGTAATTTTTCACCCAGTGGTTGGTAGGCTTCTGGAGCTCACTGCCTGAAAGGGTAGTGAATGCAGAAATCCTCAAGACATCTAAAAAATAATTTACACATGCACTTGAACTGCTGTAACCTATAGGGGCACAGGACAAGGTCAAATGATGAGATTTGACTGATAGCTGTTTTAAGCGAGCTGGACATGATAGGCTCAATGCTCTTCCCTTCTACAAATCTATACGTTACTATTAATTATCATTGCTTTCTGCAATGTGCATTGAGCTCATCAAGATCACCCAAGAACTTTCGAGTATAACAGCTATGTTCCAAAGCAATCTAGAATTCAAGGGATATATTTATATATTTGCATATTTTCCTTGGTGCAGCATGCTCTCTGAGCAGACCTCACGTTCTCCACAAGCCAGAATGCTGCTCAAAGGTTGGTGTAATAAAACCACTAACCCTTGGCCTTTTGCTCCAGCCAGTTGGAATCCATCATATTATTTAAGAATATACATCCTGTTAAGGACAATGTATAACATTAACTTTTGTGTGTTAGGAAGGACAAAGAGTCATTACAGAACCACAGCACAGAAAAAGACCCTTTGGCCCATAGCTTTGGATGCCTTTTGCATTGCAAGTGCACATGTAAACAATATTTAAGTATGATGAAAGTTTGCTTCTACCACCCTTGTAGGCAATGAGTTCCAGATTCCCACCACCACCCGGATGAAGATGCATCTCCTCTAAAGCTTCTGCCCCTTAAACCTATGTCCCCAGTCAATGATCCCTCCATCAAGGGGAAAGTTTTTTTTTCCTGTCAACCTTATCTAAGCCCCTCATAATTTTATACATTTCGTTAATGACCCCTCTCAATCTCCTCCGTTCAAAGGAAATTAAACCTAAACTGCAAACTCTCTTCATAATTGAAACTCTCCAGTTCAAGGAACATCCTGCAGCCTTTCCAGTGCTTCACATCCCTCCTAAAATGTGGATTCCAGAGCTGCGCACAGTATTCTAGGTGTGGTTTAACTAACATTTTGTACAGTTCCAACATCATGTCCCTGCTCTTAAATTGTATACCTCAGCTATTAACGACAAGGTGAAGGTCAAGACACGGTTATTCGTTTCTATAGTTTTATTTTTGAGTATTCTTCTGGCGCGATGCAAAGAGTTCTGTTTTGTTTAATGCATTTTAATGAGGTTTTAAACCTTTGAGTTGAACAGTTCCATGCCTTTCTAAACAAAAAAGTGGAGAGAAATACTTTTGCTTTGTGGCAGGTCCAAAGAAGAACAATCCAGAGAATCAATCTGTAAGTTCACGCTATGCCAGAGAGTGAAGGACTGCTGAACTCTGAGTTTAGGGAACTCACGTAGTTGCTCTGAAATTAAAATAATAGTTTATTTCAGGTTGCAGTTTGCTTTGGGTGTTTTGGGGAGAGATGCCAGATGAAGGGTAAAGGCACGAATATCTGCATCAAAATTTTTAGAAAGGAAACTGATTGCAGCTGTACCAGACTTGGTGCTGGAGCTTTAGTGTCAGGATAGAGGTGAATCGTTTGGGTGTTTTTAAGGATATTACTGGATAAAAGATAAATGTGAATATAAATACATTCCATTCTTTCTCTTTAGTTTAGTGTAGTTTGTGTTTTTCTTGTTTAATGAACACTTTATTCTTTGTGTTAAAAGTACACTGGCTAGCTCTTGTGAATGTGTTCAGTAATTAACCTCCACGGTTTAAAGAAACAAAGTTAAGATCTAACAAGCCAGATTTAGCTTGTCTACTATTAACATCAGCTGGAATCATGACAACCTACATCAGTGGTTATAAACCACTGGACAAATTTCATAAATACTAAACAGGTAAATAAACATACAACTTATTTGGAGTGTTTGCAAACATTACTGATTCATTTGATATGCCAGAAGCAACAAATAATCATTTTACTGTGCTAGTATTTCACATCTAAACAAATCCTTGAAATGTTATAATTGACTACATATGTGCATTTGTACTACAGTAGAATCGAGGACCTCACCATTATCTCTGACTGTCTTTTGTATTACAGTATGTAACTTCAAATTCCTTTGAAGTTATCTCAGAACAAATGGGGTTAAAATGTTATTCATCATAACTAGCTTTTATAAAGACGGACTGACAGCATTCAAACTGGCATTTCCCACAGGAATAGAACAGTTGCAAATGTGCAGGCTGGTATTTACTACAATGGCAATAGTTTTGACATTTGGCATGTTAGCTTGTTGTGCCTCGCAATTTTCCAGTGTTAAATTTGGTGTGGAAGTCGTTAGAATATGGCAGTCAGTGTGGAGGTGGATAGGGAATACAGTCAATAAATGGTGAAAACATATTGCAATGTAATGCTAATGAAATCCAGAAGTGTTCTTACCACTAATTTTCTTTTGTTAATGGGAATCACTGGAGAAATGCAGAAATATGTGCCTTTTCTAAGTAATGTTACAAATCATGTCTCAAGATAAGGTTGATAGATATTTAGACACCACAAGAATAAGGGATATGGAAATAGTGAGGCAAGGTGGAATTGAAATTGGCCCATGATCATACTGAATGGCAGAGCAGAGTTAAACAGCCAAATGGTCTACACCTGCTCCTGTTTCATGTTATGTTTTCATATTCCTTCAGAAATTTATCCAACACTAATTAGTTGCTGTGAATTGAATCATTGCATAACCTGCAAAAAAGAACATTCAGTATTATTTGACCTGTTGAATGTAATTGCACTCTTGCACTAAAAAAGCTATGAATGCTTCACTGAAGAAAATGCCAGATATTGCAACCATCATGTTTCATCCTAAGTTGACCAAAACAACCTCTTTACAGCCCTAATCACACATTAATGTCACTAAAGGTATCATATTGTTTTACAGATGGATATATTTGAATGATCAATCGTTGTGCATCCCAACAAGCTCCTCTTTTGTGTATGGTGCTGTGCCTATTGGTGCCAGCATTTATGTTATTGGTGATTTGGACACAGGTGAGTGTCTGGCAATTGAATGTTAGGGTTCAACCTGTTTTTCAAAATGCAGAATAGTACTTTGATACAGCAACATTTTATATTACAAGGTAGTGGGAGGTGGCTTCTGAACTGGGATTCTTTTCATACTTGCCACATGCATTCTAAATTTGACTAAGCTATTGGAGAACCACAAAGAAGGAGGTAAGTCCTTCTGGGGAAGGGAATAAAGAAAACTTCTGTCACTTTATCCACCTCCCAGCAACGAAGGGAAAGATTTGACAAAAGTTGATGTCCACACTTGAAAAGTAGCATTGCTTATTTAACTCATATACTTTTAATATAAATTTAAATTGGCTGTCAATAAAGGTTACTTTAAAGTAATTAGCTTGGAAAACAAGACTGTGTACGGTGGTACAGTTTACGAAGACTGACGATCTGTTTCATTTTTACCACAAAAGAACCTCCATCGTAAACGTTCACTCTGATGTTTTAAGTGGCAAGACTTTCTGTTTTTGCTTTAATGGATTTTGACTATAGTTATTTTTGGAGAACATTTGCCTCACCATGAAGTCGATGAACCCTCTCGAATGGTGCCTGAAAAAGCAGCAATTGACATATTTTTTTCATTACTTCTAGGCACACAGTATGACTTTGTCAGAGAATTTCGCAGGAGCACAGGAACCTGGCATCATACCAAGCCGTTACTCCCTTCAGACCTCCGGCGAACAGGCTGTGCAGCTTTGCGTATTGCAAATTGCAAGCTTTTCAGGCTACAGTTACAACAAGGTCTTTTTCGCATACGCATTCCCTCTGTAGGCCCAAATGGACCATAATGCCATGGTCAGTGGTGACCCAGTTTGGAACCAAACATTATATATTGCAAAATGAGGGATAATCTTGCAAAGTCTGAAACTTGTCTTCGTTACAGATTGGTAACGGTTAAAACGTATCCTGCAAGGGCAATGCATTGTTGCACACATTTTAATGTAAACCAGAAAGGTTGTGCTTTTTTTCTTATTTTCTGAAAGCTCAGTTATGGTATTTCTAACTGCAGCATTTAAATTGCAAGACATTAAACCAAATCTTCAGCTTTCTAATATAAAGTAACCTGAGATCAATATGTAGTAGATGCAAATCTGAAAAAGGTAGTTGTTTTGAAAAAATGCAGAGCTAATGCAGAATTCTGGAGGTAGTTACTATCCCAGTTAGAATGAATTCTGCTCTCTTTTGGACGTTCGAATCTAAGCTGTAAAGTCAGTTTTATTTTTTCACTATGTTAAACAATAGTTCTAATACAAAATGTTACATTAAATATTAACTTATCTTTTGTAGCTCAAGTTTGCAAAAGCAAAATTTAACTTGAGAAACCAACAGCCAAAAGTGACTATATTTTGAGTTTAACGTGCATCAACTGTAGGACTCTAAAGTCCACGTTTTGGTGATGGAACTAATGTCAAAGAAATGTCTACAGAAACCTAGATTTGACAACTTTTTTGTTTTGAAGAGGATTGCTCTAATGTTGAAGATATTTCGAAAGGCTGTGTCACAGAGTAGGTTAATGTTGTTACTGTTAGATCGGTTATTAACGCTTAAGTTTCAAAACAATATTAAAGTTTGATAGTTGGCTGGTTCAAAATAATTAATGGATCTATCAAAGAAAGTTGCATGTCTACTGTAAAGTTTCATATTACACCCTGAAGTTGAAGCTGTTTACATTTGTTATATAAAAAATGACTAATACTCTTTTCAGTCTCCTGTTAAATAACATTACATGTAATTTTCAGTACCACAGAACGTAATCTGGCATGGAACTACAAGGTCTGAATTGACTGCACTGAAGGATGAAAACCTACAGTGCTATCACAGAGACTTTGCTGCCAGTTCATTAATGTAATTTGTACACAAAATATTTGCCATTTTAATTACTTTTTTAAAGGCATTATTTAAACACAGTGCACAATGGCCTTTAAAATGATTTTTCCATTTCTCTCTCCAATGTCGTCACCATTCTTGCTTTCAAGAACCTGGGCAAAACTTTTCTCTTTGCACATGTTACCAGTTCCCCATCGCATCACCTTTATTTCTTTCCAATGTGCTCCTTTATTGTCAAATAAATTAAGGCATCTTTCTGAATGTAGGAAGCACTATATAAATACAGGTTATTGTAATATTACATTATTGGTGCTGATAGTGACCCACTTGAGAGTTATCTGGTTACCCCACTAGTGATGAAATCGTGTTGTTGAAGTTATTGTGAATTCTCTGCTTTGTGTGTAAGTTGCAAATCTCTGGTGCTTCCTTGGTGTTCTAGTCAGAAAGGAGTGGTTTCAAATATTAATTATTGTAATGTAATTGTTTATTCATCACATGGTATCCTCAAAGAGTGAATGACAAGGTAGTTGGCAATTTCAATGTATTAAGTCCTATAAGGCTCCTTAGTGTGGCAAGTATTTAATGTTGTATTTTTCCTCCTCAGTTGCATTCCTTCTGAGTGTGGTGGCATGTACTAGGACGTAGTTTTGTGGTCTTTTGCAGCATCAAAGGAGACATAATTTGTGATATTTAATTCCAATTTATATGCGCTAAGACAGTAAATACTAGCAACTTATTAATCAAGCAAAACGTTTAAATTCAAGCTTGCCCACATCCACTTTCGATGTCCATACTTACACATACTCGTGTCAGCACACTCGGATTATAGTAAGTGTTATTGGTTAAGGATTAAGACTATCAATATTATTGAATTTAACTAGCTTTATCTCTGGGAATAGGGAAAAAGTAGAGAGCAATTATACTGTCTTTATTTGCTGTCCCAGTTTGCACCCGTTAATGTAGTGTAGAGCATCAGAAAGAAAAACAGCACAGAAATGAATTTGGCACTTCTCAGTTCTGTGTAGCTAAGCACCACAATTATATCTATGTACTGCACTATGCTAAAGCTGCCTAGGATGTACATTTCTTCATGTGGAAAAATCTATTTTTTGCTTTTGTGACTTCTTTTGAGTCACTGGTGTTCACCTAATGTATCTCATTGGGTCATTGCCATCCAATGTATGGAGGACAATGATTTAGCAACTGCTTAGGCGATCTTATCAAATGCAGAAATACAATGAAGTTTGTTGTTTGAACTTGTATTTTGAATTAGTGCTGTAAATACAGTTAAATGTGGAGCTTGTCTAATTGGCTGTCGGTGCAGTGTTGAGACATACAGGCCTGATGACATTTGGCTTCAGCATGCCTGGGGCAAAAAGTAAAAGAAACCACTTAACTTTCTAGGCCTGTGATTAAACTCCAATAATCTATTGGAAGTGTGCCTTTGGATTACATGCAAGAGTTAAACATAACTCTTGGTGGTCTCCATGGTGAAATAATTTGCTGTTTTTCACTGCACAGTCTCATGTAATTGAGATGCCAAAGCGTGACTGACACCTGCTGATTTGTTCTTCATTATGAATCAGTAACTTAAGGATGGGGGAGAAATAAGAGAAGCAAAGTAGAAGGAAAATGGAAGATTGCCTTTTTTTTAAACTGCGTGCTGGAGGTGTTTTTTGACATAATAGTTAAACATTATTATTTGAACATCAATTTTACAATTAAACCTGAGAGATATTAGGAGGTTAATTCTGTGGTAAGATACCACAAAACCATTGCCTTGAGTGTACTGTGCTATCATTATTAAAGAGCACACATTCTTGCTCTAACAATTAAAGCCCAAATTAGCCACTAGCAGAGCTACCTTGTGCACATTATAGCAGCATGGTTGGGCCTAAAGGCAGGAACCATCCACATGCTGCTGGATATTATGTCATAATATAGTTTCCCCAATATAATTTCATGTCAAAATTATTTACTTTTTTAACTTTTCTAATTTAAATAAGTTTAAAATTTATTTAAGCAGAGCCGGGAGAAGTACAACAGGACAACAATATGTTTATTCTTCAACAGTGGTAATTTAGTTTAATACAGTATAAAATGCAGTGATGTTGCCCAATGAATGCAGGAGAGATTTCCATTTAAGTTGAATTTGGATGTGGATGTCTTGAGAAACCCTTGTAAGATAACAACTTCCAGTACCAGAGATTTGCATCGGTGCTACCTAACTCCAACGAGACTGCTGCATGTGTACTACTTCCTATTCCAATTCAATTTTATTTGTTACACTAAAAACGAACAGGCTATCCAGTAACTTGCATTGACAAACTTCAAATTAACAAGAGTAGACTATTTATAATATGCTTCTCCATTTTGCAGACTTTGACCATTTTTGCATTTGTGTTTATATAATTACAAACATAAAATTTGTTAAACTTTTCATGCCTTTCCTTCACCCTCCAAAAATACATTGGTACTGTTAGTGTTACTTCAAACTGACAAGATCTTCGTAAACACGTACAGCTGTTTTCTCAATTTGAGAATGTTTTGCTGTCATTAAAGAATTCCTATAAAATGTTTTTGATGTTTTATATAATTTTTTCTAAATACTTGTATTGGACATTATTAATGTTTAAAACATATGGCAATGATTTCAGCATGAACTTCCATGAGCCTTTGCTATTTGTCAGCTTGGAAAAATTTGTATTCTAACTAAGTATTTTGCGGCATTTTTTATAAAATCTACTAAATTGACTCATGATATTCCTATAGAAATACTAAATTATGAAATTATCACAAGGTGCATTTGTTTTGTTTTCATCAGAAGTCTTTTTGCATCTGTTCCAATTATTTAATAGAGTATATTCAAAACTATACTTCTTTTCTGAAGTTTTATCTTTTCCCTCCCTCCACCTGTGCAGCAGGGGAACTACACTTTAGACCAGAATTACAGAATTTAGTTAGGGTTTGCTATATTTTCATGGCTTTGATTTTCATTGCATAACATAATGAGATAGCTGAATGAATTGAAACAGGAACAGAAATTGCTGCAGAAACTCAGGAGGTCTGGCAGCATCTGTGGAGGGAAAGCAGCGTTAATGTTTCAAATCCACTGAAAAAGTTCTGAAGAAGGTCACTGGACTTGAAATGTTAGTACTGTTGCCTCTCCACAGATGCAGTCAGACCTGCTGAATCTCTGTGTAAATTTGTTGTTGTTTCAGATCTTCCCCATTTTGTAGTTTTTTGTTTTACTTTAGCTGAATGCATTATTTCCAGTAACATACCAACAAAATAATTTTGTATCAGCCTGTGCACCATCCTGTAGAATAATGCATCGTGAGTCTTGTTGTTTGTAAGCCCTCATTCCATTAAGAAGTTATCATCATTTCAAACAATTGTCGTTATTAGATGAGCATTCACATTTGACTCCCAAAACCACAGCTGGTATTTAAGTTCCCTAACTCATAATAAAAATTAGGTTCTGTGATGTGCAAAATGTTGGAGTGTTTTGTAGAGAGAATAGATAACCTTTACAAATGGCTTGAACCTCACTATTATAGTTTCATGTCCTCTAAAGTTAGATGTGTTCAAGTTTTATAAATATCTTCAGCCCAGTACTTTGTATAATTATTGTGACTCGTGGTACACTTTTAAGAACTGAGATTGGATCATAAGAACTCCCCTTTCAAGTATTTAGTACCTTAGCTTAAGTTTTGTTTATAAATGAATTTCTAGTATAAAGATAAATATCTGAAATGTACCGCATTGAGGTTGGGCAGAGAGTGGAATCAGTCTTGGAATTTGCATTCTGTTTGTAGAGCGATAGCACATAGGAAAAATCATTGAACTGCCACATTAACTATTTTCAGCTCAGCGATCCAAGCCATGCTTCATTGAATTGGGAAGTGTAAAATGCATAGTTCCTTGCTATCTCTTCCAATACAGGCATGTTAAATAACAGATGATCATTGTGTTGTGGTTGGTTGGCTCGCCGAGCTGGTTCCTTGTTTTTCAGCAGACGTTTCATTAACCGAACAAAACAACGAACCAGCTCGGCGAGCCAACCAACCGCAACATCCACAACCCAACCTACAAATCTACTCTAAAACCTTAGAGATGATCATTGTTTCATTTGGTTGTTAAACTGGTTTTCTCAGTGCTGTGTCGCTGGATGCTTATTGGTAACTATGCTGCAACACACGAAAGATAAATTATTGATCGCGACGGTAGTTTGAACAATGAAAAGCAAATGGTAGATTGCCTTTCCCTCCAACTTGAACTAGTAATATACCTCTTTCAAACTTCAGCGCTATACTTGCTGAACTGTTTCAGTCAATGCAACACATGACAGTGATTTACATGCTGGTAAATATCTCTGTTCATTAACTATTTTATTCTATTTGCCATGAAGAGATAGTTCTCAACCCATGGGGCTCAGGGATGATTCTTGACTTGTTAAACAACTAATCTTGCAACCGCCATAAAATAGCTAGTTCCTCATAGGAAATGGGCTTAACACCCTGCTTTTTCCAACAAACCTCCTTTAAGTACTTCATCTATCTAAGTTATAAATGCGCACAATCCTTTTCCAAAATTCGGTAATATATTACAACTTCCAAATTATTATATTCACTGCCAAAGTGAGGGGAATGAATGGAATGTAAAGCTGCTTGTTCTGACAGAATTCTAAATTACTGAAAGTTAATGTATTGCTGATGTGTCAACATCTCTTTTATTGTGCTTAACCACCATTGATATAACCCTGCAGTTTTGGACTAAGAAAATTGGTTGTTATCTATTTTGACAGCATTATGGATCAGTACAGGTCATGGTTGTTTTGCTACTAAAATACAATAACCATATGTTTGGTTACCTAAAAAAAAGTCTTCCTAAACAAATGTCCCCTTATATTGAACACAGATGTCACCATTTTTAAACAAAAAGTGAATAGTTTAAAATGTAGCAATCTTATGAAAAGGGATTCTTAGGACAAAATAAACATGAGAAATGCAAATATATTTTTGTGCAGAAGGTGATAGTCTACTGTGAGAGATGCATGCTCCTTGATTTCTGTTGATGAACATAGCATTTTTCATCCACATTTTCAGTTGGATTTTAAGTCCGATGCATAGATAGATTGAGCCTATGTTGTATATCATTATATCTCATATCCCTAACGTATGTACTGCCAATTCACAATGCATTGACCTAAAGCTGTATACAAATGTCCAACGTGGCAATGGCAGTAACAACAAAGTGAGTCATTAGACCACTCCTATTTCCACTTTGACCAGTTAAACCAAAATTAGTTAACCATATAACACTGGACACAGCAGATCTAGAAAAACTGTGTAGATATTCATGAAATGTTGCTTCCTTTGGCAGGGGTGAGGGTGGTGTTGTTGGAAAAGATAGCAACAGGCAGTAACAGTAATCAAAATTACAATTCAACTATAAAGCTGTTACTCTAACTGTACATAGATCAGGGAGATGATGACCTTAATTTGGAATAGTTCAGGTTTTGAACAATAGGATACAGGCAAATGGTAGATTGCCTTTCCCTCCAACTTGAACTAGTAATATTCCTCTCACAATATTACAAAATCAAGTTCATCACTTGTATACGGCTTTGTGAATTACTTTTTATTTTGAAAGAAGTAGTTCAATTGTGATTGCTTTGGTGGATCTTACAATTAAGTTCCAGTGAATTGAAGCCTATTGATATTTTAGTAAATAAATTTTTGCAAAGACCATAACTTGAGCTGTAATATGTTCTCCTACATAATTCATTTTGACCATTTTTAAATGTACCCCTGCATTAATCTCAAAACACTTTTCCTTGTTATTAAATAAAACAGAACAGCTCCTAAAACCATCAAAATCTATTAAGTGAATCTTGCAGCAAATTTTTTGTGCTCTTTCACATTTGACCATACTTGTACATCTGTTATCTTGACGATTTGTCACCAAAAGCTAAGAATATCTTGAGCAAAAATTGTTGTGGTTGGTTGGCTCGCAAAGCTGGTTCGTTGTCTTTCCGCAGACATTTCATTACCCTGCTGGTTAACATCATCAGTGCAGCCTCCGATGAAGCGCTGTTGTGTTTTCCCGCCTGTTATTTGAACTCTGGAGTCCGTTGAGCTGGGTTACCTCACTTCCGGTTTTCCTTCGCAGTGGAGTGTATATGGGGTCGATCATAGAGAACGACCCCATATACACTCTGCTGCGAAGGAAAACCGGAAGTGAGACAACCCAGCTCAACAGACTCCTGAGTTCAAATAACAGGTGGGAAAACACAACAACGCTTCATCGGAGGCTGCACTGATGATGTTACCCAGCAGGGTAATGAAATGTCTGCGGAAAAACAACGAACCAGCTCAGCGAGCCAACCAACCACAACATCCACAACCTGAGCTACAAATCTACTCTAAAACCTTTTGAGCAAAAATTGATTTGATATGCATCCAGGAAGCAATATGTAACAGTTCCCATATTAAAACTGTTGTCTGTCCATTGGAAAATCTGGGCAAGTCATTTCTGCAGCATAAGTGGGAGTTTCATATGGGGATCTTGTGGGATCCCAGCATAGCAGACTGTGAGGCAATTACCTGAGAAATCGAGGATTCCATTAGGCTGTTACCTATGCCTGGAACCTTCTAAAAGTATCCATCTAAATCAGAGAATCCAGAGAGTTCCATTGCAGTTAAGTAAAAATAATTACTCAGGAAAAATTAAGTAACTTGCAAATCCAGTCCAACTGCTCTTCCACCCCCCCCTCCACCAACCCCCCCAACAACTCCCCCAACTTCACCTTCCCAGATCCTGACCACCTGATCTTCCCCTGCCTGCCCTGGAACCTGACACTCTATCACCTACCCACCTGGTAGCCTACCCGTCTTTTGTTAAATAGAAATTAAGAAGCAGAATGCCAATCTTCATGTGGTTGCCATTCCTTGGAACACCTAGCCAATTAATCTCATTTTTATAAGGTTTGGCAGCTAAGTTTTTCATAAAATTTTCACAAAGAAAAGTGGGGGTATCAGCATGATTGAAGTTGGCACAGCTTTCCTCTCATTTGAACCACTCAAATAAGAGTGTGTTTGACATCTGAAGTTCTATATTAACATGAGATAAGCAGTAAATGGCAAAATTTTATTTGGTAGAATCCTAGTGTCTGTTGCTAATTTATTGTGCCTGCCTGATTGCACAATGGCAGGATATGTTTGGAACAGACAGATTTTATCACCGGAATAATACACAAAACTTGCTCTCTTGTATTTTCTTAGACAATCAATTGTTACTTTCTCCAGATGTTGCCTGCTTTATATTCAATACGAAGCTTGCTAAGAACCCGAGCAGTTTTAGATGGGGTAATCAGATACATTTTGTGGCTCATTTAGTCCACTCTCAAAGGTGCATTGATGCAGTTTTGGGCTTCTAAGTTAATGTTTCAGCCACTTTGTGATATATCCTGCAATACAAGCAAATATTCATCAGACAGTCATTTAAATGAATAAACTTGCCTTCTGTTTGATGTGACACCTGAGACACATACTGTTTCACCGCATCTTTTGCAGTGCACCTTAAAGAGGATATACTGCTGCAACTGGTCAGAATAGATCACTACTCATATTCTCTGTCCTGTGAATTTACCCAATCACTGACTGAACTACACAGGCCAAGACTGTCCTTGCTTCAATCCATGGTATGTACCGTGTTATCTGATCTTGGGTCAGCAGTACTAGTTACTCTTTGTATCACTAGGTTAGCAAGGGAAAATCAACCAGGTTTCCCACTTTGCATCCTAGACCTCATTTACCACCCCACAGGTCTCCACTTTCAAAGATTCATTAGCTGTCATTTGTGCCACCTGAAGTGGGATGCCACTACCAGACACAAATTCCCACTCGCCTTGGTCCATTCCTCCTCCACGCCGAACACCTCCCCATGATCCCACAGCACCTTCCAATACAATCGCAGAAGGTGTAACACTTGATTATTTACTTTCTTCCTCCTCACTATCCTAGGCCCCAGATACATCTTCCAAGTAAAGCAATGTTCACAATGTCGACGACTCTATATTTGGAAGATGATATGCAGACTGG